TCATAACTTGATCAATCCTTACTATATTTTTATGACTGGAATTTATTAGGTTGTGTTTTTCGTGTTTTGTAGTCTGTATAGTATATTAATGGAACGTAGTACTTTAAATATTAAATTAGGTTGAGGACGAATACTTATAATTACTACACTCTCCCACAATCTCTTTCTTTTATAATAAAGAGTACGATCCTCCTCACTCAAATATGGCAGAGAACTTATTTATCTCTTGGTGTATTTAAAGGAACACAATCTCCTGAAGATCTTACAAGCCGTTTTTATGGTAGATTTTGTTTTTATTATTTAATCTGCCGAAAACGCTGAATGCATAATTTTTCGTAGATATACCTTCCAAATTTTGTTCTGCCTCGAACTAACAAGCCACTGTTCAGAACAACAAAGAAGTCGAAAGTTGAAATTGCATAGTCACATTCGCGTAGTGTGTGATGCGATCTAGGTTTATGCCATTATTCCCACAATGGATCAATATGGTATCTGATAAAGATGATTCAGGGTCCGGTTCCTACCCAGTTGTTTTTTTTAACATTTTACACTGAGGTAGAGGCCATAATCTCTACAACCAGTTTTCTAGCAACTAAGATCTCAGACTTTTCAAGTCTAAAGCAAGTGCGATAAAGTGTCCTAAAATTAAATATCGACCATTTGAAGATGAAGTATTGAAATCGGTAGACTACATCAATCACTAGCCCTCGTCTTTTGATTTCCAAGCATCAGCTAACTACTTCTTATACCGCGCCTCCATCAAATATGGTTTTGAAAATGGCAAGTGGGATATTATTTCTAATTCATAAAATTGCCGTTCTCCCTTTACACTTATAGCTCTGTCGGGGCTTAACAATACGACCGTTTCAAACTCAAGTTCCATATTATCTACAGTCTTGGTCAGCCATGTTCCATGGTGGCGATTACAACCGGCCTGTGAAAACGCAGCTCGTTGAGCAAACTCAAGACATTTATGTAATAGACCCAAAAATCATTGAAATGTCTCCAACATGTTTCCCTTTTGAAACATATCTAAATAAAAATTTACAACCCTAAGGTCCTTTTCACCAGCACAAAATCTTAGTTTTAATCCTTTTTTAGCTTCCAAGTCTCCTTACGATCAGAGATCGACTTTTTTCAGATTTTTCAGACAAAACTCACTTTGTCTTTAGTTCATGCTCATTATAAAGTATTAGGTCTATTCTATTTTAAGTTTCAAATAGTCCCCTTAGAATACTGATTTGATTTTTTCCAGATAATTTAACTGAACACTCACAAAAAGGTCATGCACGATCGGCATCGAATAAATGTCCCTTGGGCACTGCGGTCACGCCCTCAGGTCACCAAAACTACTCCCAAACCAATTTCCTTCTCAGATACTTCCAAAAAACCCTTCTTTGGTGTGAGCAACCCGGAAGTGATAACCACCCTCATACTTCTAACAGCACTCAAGATCACTGTATTCATAATCAATCTCCTTCTTCAACTCTTATGATTCATTTTACATCGACTTTCAACTCCAAGCTTACTCTTTTAACTCTCTCCTCACGTGTCACCATGGCCAACAAATCTAGTACGCGAAACATTGTTCCAGGTTTACTGAAACCTCGCTCGAAACTACACATTGGAGCCCTCAACGTACGCACTCTATATCAAATCGATCATCAGGCCTCCCTGGCTAAAACTCTAGAATCTCGTACCACTGATGTATTCTGTATCTCCGGAACACTCATACAGGATCCAAGTGTTGTCATTCAATTCACCTCACCTTGCCGAAACAGGAAGCTGACAAGATATGCTCTCCGTTTTCTTGCTGATTCGACGGCAGTTTCCCGTGGACTGATGGGTGTAGGCGCAGCATTATGTATGAGGGCAGGACAAACGATTATGGAATGGATACTTGAAAACAGTCGCCCATGTGTTGTTCAGCTAAACAGCTCCGTAAGAACTTGAAAGGATAGGGGCACATACCGTTGCCATTTCGTCGTTTCTGCCTACGCCCCATTGACTGCGGCTCGGATGAAGTGAAAGATGAATTCTGCAGAAAGATCTCTGAACATCTTCGTATAGCCAAACACTCAGATATAGTCTCGTAGTAGGTGACTTTAATACCCAAGTGGGTAGCTTAAACCAAACTGAAATACATTTAAGTAGGTATTTTAGTATTCCGGCACAGCGAACAGATAATAGTGATTGTCCGCTGCTATACACAGAGAAGCCTTATTAAGAAGACCAATTAGAGTTGAACTGAGCGACGAGAAAGCGAAAAGTAGATTCCAGGAACAACTGAGGTCACACTTAGGTAGTTCCGAGAACAGGCTGACACAGATGTTGCTTGGAAACATATACGAATAGCTGTGTAAACAGCAGTGATATCTGTTGGTTATTTAAACCAGAGGATTACAAAAAACCGATGGACTTCTTTTAAGTCTATTGAGCTGACTGATTCTCCTAAACTCATCCTATCAGGCTCTGAACACGACGAAGAGCATAAACATATCAGATCTAGGTTAAGCAAAAGTCTAAGGAACGACCGTGGGCAGTGGTGGGCAACAAAAGCAAAAGTGATGGAAAAAGCGGCGGCTGTAGGTAACACAAGACAGCTCTTCAGGCTCATGGAAATAACCGGGATTAATAAGTCAGTTGTAAGTAAGACTATCTCTGAAAAAGACGACACTCTTATCTGCTCTCAGCCCAGACATTTAGAACGATGGGTGGAACATTTTAAGGAACAGTTCAGATGGTCTTCATCCACACCACAACTACCCCCATTCCCAGACAGCGTGAATGGAACGTTGAAGTAAGCCCCACGACACTACCTGAAGTTCAAAAGGCTATAGTAAATCTGAAAAGAGGAAGGGCAGCTAGTTCACATGGATTGGCTCCAGAGGTCTTTAAGGATGATATTCCAATTTAAGAGATTAGGTTGACTAATATTTTGGACGTAATACCATCTGACTGGTCACAATCACTGATTGTTTCAATATATAAGAAGGGGTCGAAATCATCCTGTGATAACCACAGAGGGATTAGTTTGACTGACATGGCATCTAAAATACTATCATCAATAATTATCAGACGCCTAACTAAGACTCGTGAACATCAAACACGAGAAAATCAGGTCGCTTCAGACCTGGTCGTGGCTGCATAGACCACATATTCACTATTCATCAGGTATTAAAACACAGAAGTGTTTACCGACGTCAGACAATGATAGTTTTTCCTGACATACAGGCAACATTTGTCACTGATGAACGAGAAGTTCTGTGGCAGTATCTGTCATTGAGAGGTGCACCTTAAAAGTAGACAAACCTTGTAAAGGCTGTTTACTCGAACACTACAGGTCGAGTCAGAGCTTATGGTGAACTGTCATCTGGTTTAACAACCTCAAATGATATTCTAAGAGGCTGGTTACCATCTTTATCTTTGTTCAGGTTCATCATAGACTTACTGCTAGAAATATCGTTCTAATCGTCTGAAGTAGTCGAACGTGTCGACAGCTTCACTTATCTTGGAAGTCTGATCAACCCTAAAGGGTTGATATCCGACGAAAACAATGCGTGGACGAAGAAAGCTCATTTGACTTTCGCCAACTTACGTCACATATGGAGAAGGCGAGATATCCGTCTATCAATTAAGGGACGAGTATACTGTGTGGCAGTTTGTTCTGTTCTACTTTATGGCTGTGAAAAGTGGACACTAAGAGACGAAGATATACGTAGGTTACCAGTACTTTATCACAGATGCTTTAGAAATATTTCACGCATCCGGTAGGATCATCAGGTAAGTAATAGTAAAGTCAGACACAGGGTATTAGGGAATGATGGTCAATCGGTTGATGAGGTTGTGAATCTTCATCGACTGAAATGGTTGGGCCACGTGTTGCGTATGCCTGAACACCGATTACCACGACGCGCAATGCTGACTAATGTTGGGAATGGTTGGAAGAAATTTAAGGACGGCCAAATCAAAACATGTCATCAGTGCTTGAAGTCACTAACTTCTAGTCTGAGCCATGTTGGTAGATGCAGACAACATGGTTGGGGTCCGCATTACTGTCTTAACCAATGTTTGGCGACTCTTGGTGACATGGCTCAGAATCGATCACAATGGCGTAGGTGTGTACACTGTTTGTCTTCCCTTAAACTATGAGATTAAAATTATTTCATATCTTTCTCTCTACGAACTAATTCTTTCTTGTATTATATCCTTATACACAAACTTTCCTTTACATATTACTACGATTCAAGTGACTACTTTTATGAATTTGGTGTTCATCTTGTTGCGCTAATGAGGTGTGGCAACTTGGACCGATACTTATGTGTGTCTGGTCTTATGTTGACTTTGTCTTTAAGCATTTGGTAGTGACCGCAGAGATATCTTGAAGAACTAGTTAGTTGAGTGGACGCTCATTTGCTCAAATATTATTGTGCGACACTTATTCCGAAATTCTAGAGAATGCTAAATGTCTTACTTGGTTAGACTACCTACCGTTACTCTGCTTTCTAAGAAGAGACCAAGTATTACAAATAGGATTGCTGTTTTCTGACAGCCGTTATTTAGAGAGTGAGGTACAGAGGAATCCCTCGATATCTGCTTCCTGAGGTACTCATATTCAACATACCATCTTGCAGTAAGTCCGTATGCTTTCAATCTACATGGGTCAATCATCTTTAATCTTGATAAAGTCGAATAGATATCGATTTGTGGATGGACTGACAAAACATCATCAGTTTCCTCCAAATGGTCCAGTGGAGTTGAGCTTGCCAATATGCTGTAGAACCAAGTTCAACATTACAATAGCTTCTCATGACTCGCCTGGTGCATAGAAGCAGTACTGTTGGCATAAACAATGACTACGACTTCAGGTATAAAAATTATTTGAATATTGTGGTACCGTCTTCTCATATAAAAATATAGAAGTTATAGTTCCAATAGTAATATGTTAGTATGAAAATAAGTTTCTTTTCATCACTGTTCAGTGAAAATATTCGAATTATTTTTAATACTGCGAGTCAAGGTCACAGTAGGAGTGCGCAGTTTCAGTGTTGCCGGAACGTGCTAATGTCCGTGCAGTTGTAATAGGTTGGGTTTCGCCGGATTCTCGCTTATTTGTAAGCTCGTTTTAAGTTTTCTTCATCAATTATATCTCCCAACTAAGTTGGCAGAAAACTGAAAGCTTTACGCTAACCGAGTGCATCAACTGAATTTAAATATACCAGTAAAGACTTTCCAATATTACTTGGTCAGTTTTTGGTTCATATTATTAGGCGACATTTAACTTATAAATCTAACTGCCTTACTGACCCTTATAGCATGCCATGTAATTGTTTGTGAAACGTATCTAGTTTTGTGATTCAAATATCCCAATTTCAACGTCTTGAGAAAATTCCGGAGAACTTCGAGTAAGTTTCGGGATTTTCCCAAAAGTTGTAAAAATGTGTAGTTTCCCTCGAAGTTATAAGATTCTGTGAAGATACTGAGGAAAACCCGAATATCCCCCAAACATTTTGGGGATTTCCCAGTGAGACTATTATTCATGGACGACCTTTGAGCAACGCTAGACTGATTTTGGGAGTGTTCACTTAATAACCAGGGGCAAATGATGGTTATTAACCTGTGTGAGAAATTAGAGTTATAGTTTACAGTTGAAAATTAAGCTTAGGTATTAAATTTCGGGCTTTCATTACGAACTGACATCAGCTATAAAGCCAAAACTCTATTTATCCAAATGAGTAAGTGGATTTCGCGACAAAGTCCAAGGCCTGTTATATACGTGATTGGTTTGTTCATAAATTATAGTCTCGTCGCGGGATGCTAAGTATTTCTAAGTCCTAGTCATTACATTACTCGGGATCAGAAAAATGACCATATAAGATAGGTGTTGCGAAGAAATATTACTCATAATAGCATAAATGGTAGTAAGTTCATTAGCATCATTTCTGTAGATTTCGAAACACGTCCTTCTCAAGGTTTATTACTGCTAGTTTTGGTCAACCTGAGTACTCAAAAGTCTTAATTTCAACTTACGATCCAGTTCAATAGTCGGTAACTTTATGGAGTAATCAGACATCTATAATGTGAAAATCCTGATTACTTGTTTACGACTAACACTTATCAAACCTCTTTTTACAACCCGTTTGATACTTTTGCCTGCATTTCTGAATAAGACGTAATGTACATCGGCTTTATATAAAATAATAACGTGTATCGGGTGGTAACCGGGGGTTAGGAGAAAACCATGAACCTAGGTTTCATTGTAGTTGGCACTTAACGATGAAAGGTGCACGGAGTTTTGAAGAGATGTGAGATTTCAGCTAAAATGCTTCCATTTAGCTATTCAGGTCACTGGTAACGTCAGAAATACATTAGTTGATCACTAGGTAATAATCATCGTCACTATTTAGTTCTTCCTACTGACGTAATTCCATCAGTGATGTCCAAATGTAGCCGTTAGTCTACATGGCCATGGTGCGTGCACCATTTCTGATGTTAAGTTATGAAAACAGTTAACTCAATATTTCTGAAAGGGGCTACTCGTATTCATCACCTTAGATAACAACTTGAAAATTAGGTTGTACTTGTGAACATTCACCGGGATGCCACAAAATCCACTTTTTTAACGTTCTTTTGGAGTCCACCTAATAGTGAATGAATAAAACCTCCACATCTGAGGGGAAGCACGAAATACTATGGACAGTTTGGATGCAGCTAAACAATGTGAACCTCACAAATGACTTAGCTCTTTTATCCCATACATACCAAGAAATGCAGATGAAGACAATTATTATTATTATTATTATTATTATTATTATTATTATTATTATTATTATTATTATTATTATTATTAGCTTTATTCAATATTATATTATTGGTACAATATAGAATTCTCCGCACAAAGTATTTTAACAAGTTTCCGTTTCTTCTTGGTCGGTCCTCGCGATAAATACTGAGTGATCGCCAGCTAGATGTTAACAGTCCAGTAAATAAACATCTGAATAATGTACATTCTTTTCGTTGTATATTGCCAGCAACAATATTCTCTCTTTTTGAGCTTTTTGTAACTTTGACAACGAAAGGTTGTAAACTTTTCAGAAATGCACAAGGATGGGTTATGCGATTAATATACATAATGATATATTAAAACAAACAAAAATAGATAACTTGTTGAAATACTTAGATGACAGAAACAGGTAGCCCAGATGCTCGAGCAGGCCGCCTTGGCAGGAGCTTCTGCAACAGCTGGCCTCAACATACACAGAAGAGGAACCAAGATCCTCAAATGCAAAACAGAAAATTAACGCAATCACACTTTATGGTGAAACTCTGGAGGTGGAAAGTTCCATGTACCTGGATAACAACGTCATCGATGAATAAGGGGGATCTGATGAAGACGTGAAGGCGAGAATCGGCAAAGTAAGTACAGCATTCTTACAGTTGAACAACATGTGGAACTCAAAACAACTGCCAGCCAACAACAAAGTCACAATATTCAGTACAAACATCAAGATAATTCTGCTGAATGAGGCTAAAACTTGGGAAACTACAACAACCATCATCGAATTTGTACAAGTATTTATAAATAATTGTCCATGCGAAATATCGAGTGTCCGTTGACCGGATATCATCAGCAACAGAGTACATTGGGTAGAACTAACCAGCTTCCAGTTGAAAAAGAAATTAGGTAAATACGCTGGAGGTGGATAGGACATTCATTGAGGTAATCATTAAACTGCACCACAAGGCAAGCGCCAACTTGGAATCCTGAAGTCAATGAATGCGTGGCAAAGAGGAAGACCAAGAAACAGTGCGTCGAGAATTCGAAGCAGACGTAAAAAGAATGAATAGTAACGGGAAAGGATTGCCGAGGACAGGGTTGAATGGAGAATGCTGATGGGTGACCTATGGTCCTCCATTCGGGGTAACAGGTGTAATTAAGTAGTAAGTTCATATGGACTACAAGTTGTGTCACAAACAAGTGTGGCACTCCTTTCTTGTTACCTTCTATTTTGCATCTTGTGATATTGTTAGAATCCAATAAAGAATAAAAAGTAAAGGTTGGTTGAAGGTTTATCCTCTCTTGATTAGTATGTTGCTTTCTGTTTTGTTAGTTGTAAGAAATCTTTTTATTATGTATACATACGTAATAAGCTCTTTTAATGTTATATATTTTAGTCTTTGTTATCGATTAAGTCACTGGGATACAAATTACAAAATTGAAAAAAATGCACCAACTAACTGATCAAATGGTATCCGGATTGAAAAATTATAAATACTCGTGTGTGGACAATTCACCTTTTTCAATATATGTTATGCATCCCTTCTGGAATTGGTTGGCAAATGTATGGTTTATCTATTCATTAACAAGTCCTTATATTTGCTTGTAGTTTTACCCTGTTTGGCTAGCTCCAAATCTCATAACATTCACTGGTTTCCTTCTGACTGTGGCCCATTATCTCCTATTGTGCTGCTATAATCCCACTTTCTTCTCAACAGTCAATGTTCCTACTTGGGTTTGGCTCGTTACCGCTTTCCTTGTATTCATTGCCCATACTTTAGGTTCGCCTCACATTGTAAACTGAAAAATAATTTTTCACTTTAGATGGTACAGATGGAAAACAGGCTCGTCGAACTAGGTCATCATCGGCTCTTGGCGAATTATTTGACCATGGATGCGATTCGTGGGTGTGTCTTTTTCTTGCTGGATCAATGTTCTCATTGCTAGGTAATATTTATACTGTGAGAGAAATGTTTATGGGGCAGTGGGTATTAATTATCACTTTTCTTCTATCCCATTGGGAAAAATACATCACGGGCACCTTATTTCTACCTTGGACGTTCGATACAAGTCAAATAGTAAGTAATCTATATGTTTTCATATGTTTATCTATTTACCGTGTCTCTGATTTACCGGGTACTCATTAATTTACATTTTTATATGTATTGGCTGGGTACTGAGGCTGAAGTTGATGAAATGCAGTTCGATTTTACTACCAGATCATTGGGAGTAAAATGCTTCAACTTGTAAGCTCCCATCACTCTATTTAATAAATTTTTAATTACTGGGTGTTTTACAACTAACAAGTTAAAGCATCGGTTAAATTGTTATCACGTTCTCTCCAATAACGATACATTAAAATAAAAAGCTTTGAGTAAACTCAATTTATTTTGCAACATGGTTTAGTCATTAAATATGATACGTTCGTCCACTGTGTTAATCATTCGCGTTACTTCAATTTCAATACCATGAAATAAAAACTAACTCCTTGTAGTTCTTTTCCCTTCCTCGCTAGGGTAAAAACACCAGTTTTGTAGATGAAGTTATTTGATGTTGATTTTGTGTAACCACTCAGAAAGACATAAAATTTCCTCGATTATATATCGGTGAAAAAAATGATTTAAATATTTAAACTGAGTATTTATCATTAACTCGAACTATCTTAAAAATCTATTAAAATTCCAGAAATAATGTTCACACGAAATGATAATTTACTGTAAAAGAATTTTAACCTAATCAACATTGATTTGATTTTTGTAAGTTGTAATTTAAGATAGCATATTCTCAAAAACTAACAGCTAAGTAAACGGTATGAACTGAGTCTACAGTAGATACTTCATGTGCATACCTACCGGTCTGTTGTGTAAATTCACAATTAATAAAATACCATACCGTAATATTGATCGTGTTGTCAATAATTGTTTCTAATGTTTTTTTTATTTCATTTTTCATTTAAGTCATGTAGTCGTAGACCTTGATCAAATATTAAGGGTTTGTGGAGATTGTGGTTTTTATATATTATCACCACTGAATCAACTACTTCTATGAATCCGGTGTTCATCTTATGCTAATGAGGTATGGAAACGTGGACCGATGCACATATGTGCCTGGTCCTACGTTGTAGCCAACTGACTGATTGGAGATTGTGATGATTTAGTAGTTGAATCCATGAGTCGATTAAAGCTAGACCACCATGGAAAACCTGGAAGCACTGGACGGCCGTTTCGTTCCGGTATGGAACTCTTCAATAGTGCGTATTCACGATCCCGCATGCGTGGTTCAACCCAGGATCTATCAGTCTCACGCGCGAGCGCCTAACCTCTAGACCACTTCCAGGTTTTCTATTGTGACTCGTGAACTCAACTATTAAATTACTACAATCTCCACGAAAACCCTCAATCTGATAATAATCATCATGTGCTCACTAGTGACTGGCTTCAAGAGGTGTTTCTTGGAGTTCTAATGAGAAGCCGTGAACAATGGAGTTAAACCGTTTTTGTTGTGAGGAAGTTACTCACTGAAGACTATGGTGGGTTGGTTGAAGTTAGATATTAACACGGTTGGATGCCGGCTCAGTGGTCTATAGATTAAGCGTTCGCGCGCGAGACCGATAGGTCCTGGGTTGAATCATTCGTGCGGGATCGTGGATGCGCACTGTTGAGGAGTTCCATACCAGGACGAAACGGCCGTCCAGTGCTTCCAGGTTTTCCATGGTGGTCTAGCTTTAATCGACTCATAAATCCAACTATACATGTACTAATTATTTAATTACAATAATTTGATGTTTGGTGACGAAATAATAATAATAACAATAATAATAATAACATCGCCATTCTTATCAAAGGCCAACAATCGTAGTGTTTCTTGACATCAGGGCTCCCTTCGATTCGTTGGACAGGACTGTTCTCTGGGATTGTCTGTTAAAGAAGGGTGTGCCTGAGAAGTTTATTAACATCCTAAAAGCCCTATATACAAACACCTCAGGCAGAGTGAGGGTATACAACCACTTCTCTCCATTGTTCCATTCGAGTAGTGGGGTTAGGCAGGGTTGCCCAATCTCACCATTCCTCTTCAACTCTGCCATCGATGACATTCTGGAATCAGCTCTGATGAATGTAAGTAATGGCGGTGTGGATCTGTTGCCTGGAGAAAGACTTCTCGACCTTGAGTATGCGGACGATATTGTCTTACTGTGCGATAATGCCCAAGGCATGCAATCCGCACTTAATCAGTTGGCAATCAGTGTCCGTAGGTATGGTATGTGCTTTGCACCTTCGAAGTGCAAAGTACTTCTACAAGACTGGCAGGATTCCAATCCTGTACTCACCCTGGATGGTGAGCAGATAGACGTAGTCGAGAAGTTCGTGTATCTGGGTAGCTGCATAAGTGCTGGTGGGGGTGTGAGTGATGAGATCAATGCACGTATAGTGAAAGCCAGAGCGGCTTATGCCAATCTGGGCCATCTTTGGCGCCTTCGTGATGCTAGTCTGGCTGTAAAAGGTCGGATCTACAACGCGTCGGTGAGAGCAGTTCTGCTCTATGCTTGTGAAACCTGGCCTCTCCGAGTTGAGGACGTTAGACGACTTTCTGTGTTCGATCATCTCTGTCTCCGAAGGATTGCTGACATTCAGTGGCAACACCATGTTAGTAATGCAGAGGTTCGGCATCGTGTGTTCGGGCACAGAGATGATAATTCGATTGGTGTCACCATCTTGAAACACCGACTTCGGTGGCTTGGACATGTTCTCCGAATGTCGTCCCAGAGAATTCCACGTCGTGCATTATTTGCCGACTCTGGGACTGGTTGGAAGAAGCGGAGAGGTGGTCAGTGCATGACATGGTGTCGTGGTATGAAAGAAAGCTGCAAAAGACTGGTTTGTGTCGGTCCTTCACGACTCCCTGGGTGCGGTCCGAGAGATGGTGCTACACAGTGGCTAGAGACGTTATCAGATATGGCTCAGAATAGAAGCCAGTGGCGATCCTGCGTAACCTTTTACTTTCTTCATAAAAAGTGGTTGTGTCTCCCTTACCTGAAAGATTTCTTCTGATTGTACCTTTTCGTTCCGTCGTTACTACCACACTACCTTACTCCAATCTCTTCGTCATTGTTCTCTTTTTCTTTTGCGTTCCTTAGTTTTTTTTTCTTCTTTCTACTTCTCTTCGAATTCCCATTGTTTTGTGTGGCGCATATATATTGGCGCTCTATTGTACCAATATTCATGTGTCCAAATAAATAAATAAAAATAATGTTCTAAAAGTACATTTTCATGGGTAAGTGCGCTAAGCAAATTTGTTTACGTAAAATTTTCTACCCTCAAAATCGTTATCTGTTTACTTCTTAAAACAGCGAAGTAATATACTGATTAGTTATTATTACTGGATTTTAAAAGGAACAGCCTTAAAATATAAATATATCTGTTCAAAATTTGAACTTTAATAATGGTAACGCATAATTCTCATGCTTATATAATTGTAATTTCCTTATGGTATTAATCCATGTGTTTTTGAGTAGAATCATGCATGCCCATGCACAAATGTATGTATTAACTTATTCAAAGAACCAATTAAATGTGAATAAAGATACTGGCATTTCATCACGAATCGAATAGACTTAACTTGAGAGGCACCCTTTCATTTAAACTGATACCAACGAATTTCTTAAAGAAAAAATATTCAAGAAGATTTTGCGGAGCAAGTAGAGCAAAAATTAACCGAAATCCTTAGAATGAAAAGTAAATCAGTTATCTGTGGAGACCTCTATGAATAACGTAAACCTTTTGAGTCCGTTATTCTACGATTGTATGACTTTTTTAATGTTCGTAAGAAAGATATTCTTTAACGTCCTACATTAAATATGAATAACTCACTATTTAATGCTATTGCTAAATGACTGACTGGGATTGTATGATCAGTCAAAAATTAACTCAACAAACAAATCACTGCTGATCTGTTTGACTTTACTTATTCAATGCCCGATGTCAACGAAACTAAAAAAAGTAATTTTATTGGATATTTCTTCTATTATTACAAATGGGCCTCTCACGGAAACAATCTGCCTACTATGTAATTATATTGGAAACAAAAGCCTTGATATCAGTGTTCCAGCATGCCATTTGGAGGGATTACTACTCTGATTCACTTTCAACGTCCAGTTGACATTTAGTTATGAGCTTTATATGCAAAGCCAACAGCGTAATGATGAGGTCACAACTGCTCACATCTAGCTGACTGTTTTGTTCCTAATCCTGAAAACATACTCAAAACAACAGACAACAGTTTCTGTCCATAAAAAGATATTTATATGGTGCTTTCATTACTTGTGACAAAAATGTTGATTTCAACATCCTAGAAAAGTTCAATCGTTGTCGTCAGTTATTTATTTTCAGAGTGGAATCCGAGTTTAATCCAAAGTTCCACTACCTGGTTGCTTTGTTAGAAAAAGAGACTAGATAGTCTATTACAAAAATCTATATGAAAAGTTTACCTGGAGCAGCTCGTACACGAATTTTCAAAGTTCGATCCCATTAAATCAAAACAGAAACCTGGTCCACTTTCTATTTACGAAAGTTAGACAAGTCTATGCAAACGATATAATTGACATCAAACTTGATAGACTACGGCAGATACTTGCCAAAAACAGATATCTATCCAGATTCATTGAGAAAAATTCGAAGCAAAAACAAAAATATGAAAGCGTGTCTCTAACATTAAGAAAGACCCTCTTCATGAATATTCAGTTTGAAGATCATACACCAGAGATTCTGGGCAACAGACTTTCGAGATCTCTGAAAAAAACATTCTATTCAGGTAGACTTTGTCTCTTTCTAGTCGGCCTTCGATTCACACTTGTGTGAAAGACAAGCTTCTGTTTTGAACCAAACCAATGTACATTCATCAATTTATTTCCTATTTTGAAGCAGATCATATTGACCACATAAAACAAGCTCTTTTGAAACACATTTTTGGCTATTGAAAGAACAGAAAAAATCAATCTCAAAACTTCTAGTTAATTCTGACCATACTGGTTCACCAGAACCTTCTTTCATAATCATCCATATATTTAAAAGGATTGATTTAATGGGAATACATATTGAAAACTTATGCTTTTGGCAAAGGGTTTAGATATCCACAAATTCAAATGTAATTTTTGTATACAAAAACAGTGTATTCAGTCCCCTATTTTACCGTGGTCTTAATCTTCCTTTTTATCTTTTTTTGGCTCCTTTTAAATTATTTTCTTGGCAAACATTAATTAGTTATTATTACATCTAGTTATTGTGTTCTTGATATTTATTGAGCGAACAATTATCACTCATTCATAGACCATCTTCATCTTAATATATATATTTTTAATTATTTGATGGGTTATTACGTGAATTACTTTCAATGATTTGTTCTGTATGAACAATCTATGACAAGATATAACTTTAATTTTATAGGACTACATAACACTTATATCACTGTAGACTACTATTTTAGTAAATAAATAAACTATAAATTCAACTGTACAATGATGTCATCGAAGTGAAAATTTTCTTCACTAAAATTGCCCTTATTCTTCTTTGCTAAATTAAAAGTTTTCCCGGTGAACTTGAAATTTTCGTTAGCTAAACCTTTTGTAAATCTATTTTATATCATTTTTAATTGTATTATGTACGTTTATAGATTATTCAACTGGTTATAGTTTATGTAATCATAGATATGTTTGTTCGTTTAGTTACAGTGCCTTAAACACTTGATTTCTAACCAGCATGTCACAAGTTGGTTCCGTGGTCCTCTTAATTCGATTATAGTAACCACGTGGTATCTATAACTCATATACATAGTATAGAGCTACAAACTGAGTACTTGTACATGGTTAGTAAGACTTCTACTAGTTGGTTGGTTTGGATATTTTCTAATCGACATAATGGTCCAGTTAAATTTGAATATACTACATGTGATTGTAATAATTGTGAACATTTTAAATTTTGCTTGTTCACATTAATATGAATTCGTTAGATTAATCTTTCTCATGAATGTCCCACTATCATGACTGATCAGTCTTATCGATCATAAGATCATTTTAAAAAATTTAGTGTTTAATTGTGTTCACAACCATACTTCAGTAATCTAAGTCATATGTTACTGTAATTCGAAATCGAGTCTTTTTACCACCTATCACTCCTATAGATTGAAATTTCTGGGACGCTATCAATAAGTAAACTGAATTAAAAACAGAATTTGTTTATTGGTATTTTAGCCTGAATTTACAAACGTTCGGCAAAGTTGCTGTGTATATATTCGTTTGAATTAAGATCATATCTACTTATTCAGTTCATCGATTTATTTGTTTATTTCAATTGAGTTAGTTAAAGAAATATGATACACATGTAAAATTTGATAACAGGAAAAGAATATTCTATTACGTGTTGTTATTATTATTGTCTTTTCAAATTTTAGATGGTTGCTCTGGTCTTCTTACTCGCCTATTGGCGATCACCTACTATTTTTATGAAACCACTTTTATTTGGTTGGTCAAGTGCAGCTATTTTCAAGTTCACACTCTTTTGTAAGTAGCGTTAAAAATTAATTTCGTTTATATATATATATACTTCAAGACAGCTGTACATGAATATGGATATTGTACACAACATTGGAACGTGGTCACTCACGGGTTTATGTTTATGCGGTAGTAAACAAGCTTAATAGCCTAGTTCCAATATTCATGTACACTCACTGATCTGTGTGTATGACCTTGTTTTTTATTTATTGTTCATTCTGTGCAAACTTTACATTAGATATAGATGAATTTTATTTTGGCCAAGTTTACACACAAATGTAAAAATTTATATATATTTTTTGAACGTGCAACTTGATTTCTACGAATTGATTTTACTTAGCTAATTACGTATCTATTTTATAGAATTTCGGCTTAATCGAACAGTTAGTTTCAAGTTTTCAGAGATCTATTACTAGTAGAATATTTCTAGTTATGATGTATAAGTTCTATTTGCTAGTTGATTCTTTGATTAGAAGGTATGTTCATCATCACTCAGCATATTTGTGATATCCAGTGTAATTGAGTAGTCAGTTGTTTGTTCGTGTATTATTCCCATAACTAAGTTTTAAAATGGTCTTGAATTGCTTAAACGGCAGTTAATTAGTTTTCTAATCGACGACCGAGTGATTAAAATCGAAATTCCATATCTAAATTTTACGATTAGTTTCTAGGATGACTTGTAATATATAACAGCCTCCATCTAAATTTGAAAATCGCTGAGATTTTACATATATATTCTTCCTCCTTCATACCGAGCAATGCTTGAATTATTTGCTTTTGTAGCTTTTTGAAAAACGGTGAATTTTATTGTGTAACTTGTTAATCAAGTGCATATTCTTACCCAGCTTTGAATCACAATGTATATTTCAGTGTTATTAATACTATCTGGTTGTCTTAACCGATATAATAGATCATTTTTCAAACATGTAACTTACTTTTTGAAAGATTAGTATTTTTTTTTACTACTAAAATTCAGCCTTGGATTGATAAGGTTAGGCAAAAATATTGGGTACAGATGATAAATCAATTGAAAAAGCCATAAATTTTCACAAACTGTAGTCATTGATATGTGCCTAACATATTTCATGGGAATAAGAGTGCTTTGAAAGCTAGAGACGATCAAACCAAAACATGAAATCAGTCTGCGAAGTTATCAAATGTTGGCTTAATTCACGTCTAATGGTACAGACTTCCTTTTTAGGATCCGTGCAGTAATCGAGCTTGATAGTCAGAGACGTAGCCAAGAAATATCTAATGTAACGTCATTCGCACAAAGTGCTTGTGTACTTAAAAAGACTGCTTGGTTCAGCGTTAAAAATATCAACAAATGAAATTTACGAGCTCCAAATACAACAAGCAGTTATTAAGTAAAAAGTAATAATCATCACCTAACGAATAATTTTCCAACTTTTCAAATAATGGGCTTTGAGTTTGTTTACCATTGGACATATTAATAAGATAGGTCGTGATTACATTCGTTTGATTGGTTTGTACTATCAGGAAGCTTGCCTTCTGGATTACCTCTACTTTTGTGTAGAAATTATTCAGGCTATTAGGTTCAAGTAAACTTAATGATAAATCAAAAATGTGTTCATGTCGTGGCTACGTAGTGATTGTAAGACTTAAGGTCAGAGGTGAAAGCATGTTCGGTACATATCAAGTCAATGAAAAATTTACTATGTAAGTGATTCATTACATATGCGTGTAAATAATTATTCACCTAAATCCCTGTGTTTCAAGTTAGAAAATTCTATGCATCGAAATGGTGGATCGATAAATCATGCCTGATTGGACGTCTTGGATTCTCATTAGCTGCTTAGATCCGTATTAATCGGGTTAAGAGACAATATGAGATTGCGTAATCAAAATCAATAACTTTGATCACTCTTTTGTTTTTATTTCTTGGTGGTTGCTTCTTATTTATATAACACTCCCCTACATATAAGGTCATTTGAAGAGTGGTGCAGAGAACGTAAGGGTGGGAGCAGACATAAAGACAGGGACTATCTAGAACTGGTAAACTGTAAAACTGGGTTACATCAATACACATACGCAAAGTTTAGAAGATCTGATAAGTGAAAAATCAAGTGGACGAAATAACTGTTTACGAAACCTACCAATGAAATACAGCATAATTACATTTAGCTTGAAAAAATTGAATAAAACAGTTTATGAAAGCTTGACATACGTATTACCATCGAAATATAAACTACCATATCCGTTTAGTAAATCACTTTTTTATCAAGATCGATAAATTAATAACCCATTACATTTATTCGAATCCTTTTTTCTTATGCAATAAATCATTACCTACTCAATACCTATCTCCTTTATGCATCAGTTTATTGGCGTTGTTCTACCATGATAATTTGTTTGAACTGATGTAGGAAAATTGAATTATTCATTATAGTATCTCAAGTTAATTACCCGAACAATTTTCAAATATGTTTCTATTGTAATATTGTGACGAATATAGCATAGCATGTTTGTCAAATGCCAATTTCAGTCATTTAGTTTACACGGGTATCATATCATTTGAAAACAGATATAAGAGACATAGAGCAGTGAGTTGGTAACTCCTCTAGAATCCAAAATCAATAAGATGATTTTCAGTTAGGGGTTGTAAAGATTGTCGATTTTCATTGAAATCATGTCCCAATCAATGTTAGACCACCAATGAAAACCTGAAAGCAATAGATGGCCGTCCTAATAAGGAACTTCTCATCAGTGCGCGTCCACGGTCCTGCACGCAGGATTCGAATCTAACACCTTTTATCTCACGCGCGAACGCTTAACGTTTAGATGCACTGAGACGGTATACAACAGTGTTAATGTCTAACTTCGACAAATCCATTATACCCCGAGACAATCTTCGACTGTCTTCTGTACATAACTGCCTATCCTGCATCCAAATCCCGCGTGCTGAATTGTGGGTGCGCACTGTTGAGGAGTCTCATATTAAAATGAAACAGCCATTCAGTGCTCCCTGATTTTTATTTGTCACTAGAACTCAATGAACTTGAAAAAAAAGAATGAAATCTATGTTCTCTTCAATTGTGATAAATGTTTACTATTGTAAAATTCATATATTTTTAGAAAGTGTAATTCTATTTTTAAATATAATAAACCTTAAATTAGTTTATTCTCATTTTTATTTTGATTAATGAATTTTGAATAGCTTCATTTTATTTTGTTCATATACCAATTACATTATGGAATATTATAAGAACTTGTCCAAATAAACAACCATGGCATCGTGGTCTTGGATTATGGGGTGTAATTAGACCTCTTATACCTGCAGGACTACTTATATTTAGTTCATATATATGGGCTTATTATTCACCATCAAATTTATTGGAAAAAAATACACGTACATTTTTATTTTGTTGTGGAACAATTGCTTCAAATGTAACAGTAAGTATTATTGTTTTTGTATAGTGATTTTATAACATTCCCTCACTTTTTTTGTACGTTGATCATTTATTTTATTATTGCCAAAATCATTGAATTTTGTAAATGGAAAAAAGATCTTAAAATTCAGACTATATACTTAGTAACTTTCTGGGATTTTTCAACAACGCGCGTTTAATATATATCACTATGGGGTTAGATTGATTATTTAAAATTTACGTAATTAATGTTTTTTTATAATGTGAACTATAATTTTGCTTATCTACTGATATTATTCTTATGAAATAAGACAACATTTATACACATCTCTATGTTTATAGATATACATACACAAACTTTACTGATCAAACTCATAAGTCGGAGTTTTGGGCGTTTAGTTAATTTAAGTAAAGCATAATATCTACTTTCTTTTTCAACTTTACACAGTAGTAGTTGTTGTCATTATCTTGAGTTGTGTTGTTTATCATGACATATCAGTTTTCAATTGTTGATTTTTTTTATATGCCTAACATCATCTTTGATTTATATACGATTTAAATTGTCAGAATGGGTTTTGTGGAGAATTTAGAAATTTCACTGGTTGAAATCATGAGTCAGATGAAGCTAGACCACCATGGAAAACGTGAAAGCACTGGGCGGCCGTTTCGTCCTAGTATGGGACTCCTCAGCAGTGCGCATCCACGATCCCACACCCCGCGGGACTCGAACCCAGGACCTACCGGTTTCACGCGCGAGCACTTAACCACTAGACCACTGAGCCGGCCGGCATCCAACGTTGTTAATGTCTAACTTCAACCAATCCGTGAAGTTGCGCCACCGTACACCATTGTCTTCAATGAGCTGATATCTCACAACAGACCTGGTCAGTCACTAGTGACTGACTTCAGGAGATACTCCTGGATTTCTAGTGAGAAGCCATTACCAGTGGAGTTCAACCAGGTCTGTTGTGAGATATCAGCTCACTGAAGACAATAGTGTACGGTGGCGCAACTTCGTGGATTTAAATTGTGTTTAGAAGTCTGTTTTCCTATTAACGCCCAGTATTGTTTTATTCATCATACAATATTGTGTTTTGATGCACGTGTAATCCAACGTTTATCACACAACTATATCAGTTATTTTATTCAAAAATCTCTATACTGTTACTATTGTCTTGGATGACCTAAGCTTTTTTATCAGGCTATAATGCAATGTCATACCAAAGAAGGGACTTATCTATTAGAGCTCTTAACTCCTTTTTATAGTTCTACCTGTATGGTACTATTCAACTACCGAAATAAATATAATACACTTTAGACCTATTTGTGATCGAGCCGGCAAGCCTGTGTTACGTCTAATCAATCTGAATAATGCTTTAAACAAGAAATCATGTTGTTCTTCGAGTATAGTTATGCATATATATGAGTATTTTAACACATGCTTAGAAATAAGCCTGAATATTATTTCTCAAATCTTCAGGTCATTGCTTATTGAATACCAAACACAACTCCCGGATAAAATGAAGGACTAGTCCTAGTTTCAGACCTAAAACAAAATAACTAGATTTTGTTGGGTGGCTAAAAGTAATCAGCGAGAATACTCGATCCATGTTTCATTCTTCTCGTCCCTTTTCAAAAAGATACACCTGCATTATCGGGTGAACTACTACTTTTTGTAAGACTCCGACAGTCATCACATAGCTTTATAGTGTGAAGCATCGCCATTGAGCTATTCGGAACATTAGCTCCCTTAAGATTGTAGATACATTTTACTGAAGAGTTTCTGATGACACGAAATCTAGATGCATAGTTTCCTACTGAATTAAAATACTCCATTTTGAATCACTTGGTCTAGTAGTGTTATGGTTTCTCTTATCACGACCCATCTACTGTTATTGTTTAGTATTCTTGGACACTATTCCATTCGACAAATCCCCAAATCGGAACACCGTTGAACAGCAACGTAGTTATACTCTAAATAGCAAGGTTGAATAGAGGTAGGAATCGCAATAAGAAAAATCTTAGAATCTTCTCCAAGTACCCTCTAGCTCTGATTAGTTAAGAAATAGCCACTCAGTGTGCCCCAACACAATCCTGCACGGGAAATACTTTAATCCAATCTATGTCCCGCTAACAAGTGGCCACATTTCAATTTCATCAGTAAAGTTTGGTCTCCACTGCGTAATAAACATGCATAACATTGGATACTACTCAGTGATCAGTCGATGTAGTGTATCATGATAAGCCTGTTTCCCCAGAAGTTAACACAATAAATAAAATGTAATTTTTCACGAATGATGCTCACTATCAGGAGTAGTGTCTTAGAAATATCGTTGAATAACTTTCGATATGCAGATATATATCTTTATTTATTAACGTCCTTGTGATTGATTTGGTAAATCGTAACTCTCGTTTTAATAAGCAAAGATGGATAGTGGCTAGCAGTGGAATCCAGGATGCGCGTTTCGTCCTATTCGCGACTCGTCAGCTGGATGTGCCTGCATCCCAGAGTTGATATTCACCTCGGGACTCGAACCCAGTACCATTCGCTTCAAACGCCATCGCGTTATCCACTCAGATACTGAGTCCTGATAGCCACCTTCTTGTGCAATAAGGTGAAGTTTAAACTCACTTGGTGTTGTTTTACTTGTATCTTCCAACATGAGACTGATCAATTGCAGTCTTAAATAACGATGGGAAGATACAAGTGAAACTTTTAATAGTTTGATCAATCCTATTATAGTTTTAATTTCATCTTAATTCGCATATTTTAGCCCTGCTTTGATTCGAGCACCCGGGCAATATCACAACCCTCACATGAACCAATATTAACTACTACTTTTTATTGTGTGGCTCATATGTATTTGGTGCCCCCTTGTGCCAGTTTTCCTGTGTTTAAATAAATGAATACATACATATTTTAACATATGTCACTTTCGTGTCTTATACTTTCTTTTTCGTTTTTTCTTAGTGTCGTTTAATCGTCGCGCAATTATGTCATGTCCCAGCGCCATTGCACAACAAAGAAGTTTATTTATATTCAATAATTACCGTTGTTATATGTTTCATTCTTCCAATAAATAAAGATACGTCTATTGAGTGTATCGTCCTTCATTTAATAACGAGTTTCGTTACATTGGATCATCTTTATTATGCTTATCAAGTGGTTAGTACTTTTTATTTTCACATTTAAATATGATCAATGTTCTTAAGAATTGACTGTATAACATTAAGGTTTCTAACAGCTTTAATGTAAGCCTCGCTGAATAAAAATTCAATATGAGCAAAGTCTACATTAAGGTGATGTTTTGACCTTCAAGTTGACAACATATTCAAAGTTAATTATATAAACAAAGTGATTAAGAAACATCAGACCTGTATATTATCCTTTTTGAGGGAGGAAAGTAAATTGTCTAAGTATTTTAAAAAATGCATTGATAATTGGTACTATCATAACACAATCAGGTCATTTATAATGAAGCGTTATTTACTTGACTGATTGGACTTTCATAAAATATTATTGACAAAACAAAATGTAGAATGCCATTTGATTAAGTTTTTTATTCCATGGAACATTGATAGGTAAGTAGGACTAGAATTTATATGTTAAAAAACTGTTTGTTTATCGGAAATCAATGTTTTTATGTTATGTTGTTCTGACATATTCTGTTGTTGGAATATTCAGTTAATCCAATAGCCCTGATAGTAATCTGATCTTAATTATATATATATTTAGTTAGTTAGATCTGAACCATAACCGTTACTTGAATAAAAGCTAATAATACTTCTCAGTTGTTGAGATTCATGTGCAATAGTTACGCCTTATTAACATTGTCTTAAAGAATAAAACTACTGATCAAATTAGACAGTTATTTGCATTATTTATTCACCTTATTATTGCTTTTGAATATAGTCTTGGTTATATATCTGTTTAATAACTATACTATACTTGCTTGTGGTTAATACGAAAAACCTTGTGTCTTCATAATCGTAATCACACTGTTTCAATCCTTCATTTCTCATCGCTTGTATTATTGAAAATTCGATAGAAACTCCTTAAATTAACCGTTTGATGGATAAATACAATATTCAATAAAGTCACTTTATCTTGATATTTTTAGAGTTCCTGTAGCTATTACATAAAATAATAATAAATTAATAAATGGACTTAAGCCGAGGTTTCCTAGTAGTAGGTGGGTACTAATCAGCAAGGCGTATTTATAGTATTGAATAAATTAATTTCTCATTGGGTTTAGACTCACATCACCGACTGTCACGACGAGAGTTCATTACTCTAACGCATCAAGACACAATACACTCAATGTCGAGTCATTCGGATTTATAACCACATTCAAACTCGATCGAGGTAAAATTTGTTTAGCTCTATTGACTAAAAAAAATAGGATATTGATTACCAATCTGATATGACGGTCTATAATTAATCCTAATATCTAAACATTAACTGATTTTAGTAAGTGATCAACAACCCGACTCCCTCTAATTGCTTATGACAATTTGTTGTATTTATTTTATGGTAGTGATTCGTATAAAAGCAGGTTATTTTATTACCTGTAAAAACCTATTTTCTGTTTTATCTTTGATTTCAAATCATTCTGAGGTTTAAGTCAATAACTCAGTCTCATCGTGACCAGTCACCACTCAATCATCTATTATTTAGTGATCACCTAGTGTTAAAATTAAGAGTTTAAATTTTCTAATGTGTCCACTATTTCTATCCTATGTAGTTAGTTAATGGGCATTTTTTAAAAGTTTTTATCTAACCACTAATAACTACTCATATGTAATGCTTGTGTTTTCCAATTGCTCTTTTTTGCTCTTTAAATTCCAGGTAAATGAAATTTCATCATGTCTTTATATAAAAGTGTTCAGTATTACTCATTAACAACAACATAATGTGAATCAAATTTACCTCTTGATTATTATTATTATTATTTTTGTGTACATTATAAGATCAATCATCTTAACTTATTTCTTCATGTGTATGATGAATTATTCATATTTACTCTATGAAACTTTTATTGTTTCAGCACAGAATCTCATTGTCCTTTTTTCGTTATTCTTCAAATATACATGATTCTTTTGTCTTCTTTCTTTCTTTCTTTCTTTCTCTCTCTCAATCTCTTTCTAGCAAATTAAACAATGTCAATATTTCTATTTTATTTTGTTTTATTACTTGTTGTACACACACACACATACATACATAGACCTTATTTTACTTTCTCCAAATCTGTTTTCATCGATGTAATAAATCACATTGAACAGGTATATATGAATGTGTTCAATGTTTCAGCATGAGTAAGAATTCATGTTTCTGTTTCCTTCCTTCTTTCTTTCTTTCTTCTTTTACAGTTTTAGCTATGATACAATTATATACATATAATACATGGTTAAATATGATGTTTCCTTGAATAATTTCACTTTCACATGTATGAATATCATTTATCAAAATATATTTTATTTCATTTTATTAAAAGTAATTTACATTTTATAATTGCTTTTCGCTCTTTATTAAATTCTCTTCTAACTAAACTATAATTATTTTCTAATTCTATGGAATAAATGTATTAATTATGTCTGATGAGAAGTAAGAAAAAAAAGAAAAGAAAATTACTCATGACATTATATTGTAACTACTGAAATACTCAACTGTAGTATGAGTTTAGAAATAGTTGACTAGATTTAATTTCAAAACAACCAATGCTCCATGAAGAGTAACAGATATAAAAAGGAATTTTCTAATTATCAGAATGGGTTTTGTGAAGATTTTTACAAATTTCAATAGTTGAAATCATGAATCAATTGAAACTAGACCACCATGAAAAACCTGGAAACACTGGACGACCATTTCGTCCTAGTATGGGACTACTCAGCAGTGAGCATCCATGATCCCGCCCTCTGCGAGATTCGAACCCAGAACCTATCAGACCTGGTTGAACTCCACTGTTGTGAGATATAAGCTCATTGAAAACAATGGTGTACGGTGGCGCAACTTCGGGGATTGGTTGAAGTTCGTCATTAACACCATTGGATGCCGGCTCAGTGGTCAAGTGCTCGCGTGCGAAACCAGTAGGTCCTGGATTCGAGTCCCGCGGAGTGCAGGATCGTGGACGCGCACTGCTGAGGAGTCGCATACTAGGACGAAACGGCCGTCCAGTGCTTTCAGGTTTTCCATGGCGGTCTAGCTTCAATTGATTCGTGATTTCAACTATTTAATTTTCTAATTGTATACTTCTACAGAATTATATTCATTGAATAAAAACAAGCAATAAATAAAGTCTATAGGTTAGTTTATTAAATTCTTTTGATTCAATTCTTGCCAAGTATTCATTTTACAGTATTTATCTCAAACAATGAATTGTTGGACAGTTCTCTAGAAAATTTGTTACACCACAAATAAATAAATAGAAGTGTAAAATTAATCTTGAATAGAAAAAGAAACAGAATTTCATAGAATACTAACTAAATAAGCAAGTCAATAATCAGTCCTTCAATATTCTCGTTGTTCTTTTTAGTAAAATGAAACTGTTACATAAACCTAACAGTTATAGTTTAGTATTTTGACAACGTTGAATATGTACTATATATGAATTAGTTCACTGTTAAATTCAATATCCTGACATTCTTATCAAGTCTATTTGTTCCAAAACTGAATACTGTATATAACTTACTAACATACGTAATTCAATTGTGTATTATAATGTTCTGTGTGAAAGACGAAATCGTTTCTCATACTTTCTACAACCTGCATACATCGGATTTATGTGATATCGAAGTTTGAACCGGCCTACGAAAACTAGCAAGCAATTAATTTTAATGCTCAATATAAAGTATTGTTTTTTCTTTCTGAAAATTACACTGGTGTGTGCTACTTATATCGGCATAAGTAGTATATGACGTTACTCGTGAACAGAATGTCTGGCAGCAGAGAGACAAGAGGATCGAACAGTAAAGAATGGAAACAGAATGTAATTTGTATGAAAATGCAGGAAGAATGAAGTCTGAGTCATTATGAGACACCTGATGGACATTTTGCAAATTAATCATTAACTTTTTCATAGTTAGATTTACTAACAAATCCTATAATTTTGTGTTGAATACATTCGATTGTTCTCACTGGTGTTCGTGTTCAGTACAACACCTGATTTCTTCATACCCTTTGTTGGAAGATAAGGCCAAGTTAGTTTGGAACTAAAATGTTCATGAGACTTTTTCTCATAGTACATCAGACGAATACAGCAGCCTTCCGACTTTATTCAATCCACATTACTTAATAGCATAAATGAGACAGTGGACTGAAAGTGATGACAAAATTAAACTAACTTATACAGATTGGTGTCTCCATGATTTCATAAAACTAAACATTTTCAATGGGAACACAACACATACACACTTATTTCTTAAATATTATAGATCTGGCAATATCAGAATTAATTCACAAGTAGGTGATTGTGTACGTGGTTTTCAAACATACTGTGTGTGACGGCTGGTGATACCACCCAGCCCTGTTAATCAAGGCAGGTGAAGCGATATGGTAATAATTTAAATAAAATTGTGACACTTAATCGTATTTATGTTTGTTATGACTACGCAATAAGCTTACATTTACTACTCTTTCAACGGGACATAAATGACAACTCGATGCGAAGAAAAATACAAGACTGTAGATGAAGAGTTATTCATACACTAACCTCTGATTCACAAATGATCAAGACCACAACAAAACTTGCAGTGTTACTTATGTCGTTTCAAACGTTCGGCCAAAATTCAAGGTGAATGTATTGAACCGACACTAGTTAATCAATCGTTCTTTGTATGCATATAATTTGCAAAATCAATAGTTTGACTGTTCTAACCAATAAGTGTAACTAAATTATCGAGTTAAATATTTTGTTTTGGAGGTTTAGACCTGAAACAGGTTCATGATTCTAATGAAACTGAACCATCGCCCCAACCCATTGGTTGGTTGAAACCTCAATATCTTAATCTCTAGGCCACCCAATCACATGGAAATTCACCATACAGGGATTTATCAAGATCCATCAACGGTGTTGTTTCTTTGATATTGAGTTTCTGTGTAGACGTAATTATCTCAATCGATTTATTCCAGAGGATATATTTATATGAAAGTTTGAGTGTATTATTATTTGTTAGATGAACCGTTGCTTCTATAGTTCAATTGACAATTCGTTGCGTCAATCACACATTAACAACACAGGATCCGAAATAAATAAGTATATGTCGAAGATACGGCTAATGTAATCACGGAGATAGTAGAGTGACATTACAGAAACTCAGTATTTAGTGGGGTATAAAGACCGAGTATATATTATTCATTGGAAACTCCATCCACTTCACTTAAAGTATACAACCATAGATTTCGATTACCACTTAAACCTCAACTAGATAATGTGTATCATGTAACACAGCTCAATCCAACATTTAGTGGCTCCATGGATTTATACTGTCATATTTTGCCGCCTCTAATTTTCTCTCAGGAGTAGGGATTAGTTGTGCCTGTGTAGTATGTGTCTCAACTGATTGAACTCCGAACCGGAAACGTTCTAATAAATATTTTCTTGACTTCTATTCATCTTCCACCTACAGTTTTTTTCTGTGTGCCAGTCACATAAGTGTCAGTGTTTATACAGTTCTCTTACTTTCAGAATCAGTGCAGTTATGTGAAGAGATTTCAGTGTTGGCATTCAAATTCATTTCCATAATTTGTGGTAGGTTGTGTGCAGTTATTTGATTCAATTAAGGATAACTTTGAATTTTTACTAAAATATTCTATTTCGAAAGTCCCAAAGGAAAATATCAAACATTTAAGTTACCTAAAATCTAAGTTTTATGTCAAAAATCATCCAGTCGATTTTGTTTCACAATCTATATTCTCTTACTGCGTAAAATCAGGGGCATTAATACAAAACAGACTACTTAGTTTATTTGTAGTTGTTTATAGAGTTGTGTTATCTAACTTGATTTAAGATGTAGAACGGTATAAATGATCCACACTACGTACATTTATGAGGTAAAAGGGGATTCACAAAAGAGAAAAATAGACCAACGGGCAAATTTTGTCTTCTTCATCAGTCTAGATTGATCAATCTCATCCATAGAACTTGTGAACATGTAACTTTTTCATTTTCGTACCTGTATATACCCAGTTATATATCTTGTCATTCGAAATTTACCTCAAGTGAAACTTAAACAAATCAGTGTTTGCATCAACTTGGAAGAAGCAAATGTTTGTCCATAGGTTTGGTATTAACGAGTATCACTCTTGGTTTTCGAAATAAATCGAAATAAAAATGATGCTACAAGTGGTAACAGTGAATTCTGGAAATTTACAAACATCTAATTAAAATTGTCAACTACAAAACATCGGATAACTTTTTCCCTATATGAATTATTCTCTAAGTATGAAAATATTAAAGTTTCATTATTCATATACTTGACTTGGACTTATTACTGTACTAATGATGAATAACCAGTAATAAGAACATTCAAACTGCTTCAAGTTTTTGAAAAATAGTATGACAATACACAATACTGTATTAATTCACAGGTCACCTAAAAATATTTTAGTATAAAGATCTTAGTCAATAGTGTAGATTAGAGAATAGTAGTTTTTATTGTCAAGTCACCAGTTAGAGTTTCAACAAATTATTAAACTATATAATTTTTATGGGAAAGACTGTAATAAAGGGGATGTTGAGAATTCAGTTGCATCTTCATGTAGGTGGGGGATGGTGTGAGCGTAATCAATTATATCCACCAGTTTATCAAGGTAAAATTTCAGGCAACTTATGCCCTGAGAATATTTTGAGCGCATTACGAATCGATTTCACTCTTTATTTTTAACTTTTAGAATTTAATAACTAAGGGATTAGGTGAATGAAAAAAGCTTGAGAGTAAAGTAGTTGAATGACTTTGAGCTAATATAGGAATCATTAAGTGATATTATGCTGTACAAAAGTGAAGTAAATTTAGTTACTTATTGATTTGAAAATAGTTTTCCGAATTGTATTTTTTCATAAATCATGATTTTATTGTTCCCTCACATCAGATGATATAGGAAGTCAATCAATCATATGCTTGTCTGGAATAGATAAACAATTCGCTCCACGTGAGGATCTTATTACCAACTGTTTTTACAATAATTATTTCTGATTAGTATTCTGATATTATGATTTGAGCAATTAAACTAAATTGATAAATCATTGTGATAGAATTGATGATGATATAGTTCTTGCAAGAAAGTCCTTCATAACATTCTGGTCTCTCATCAACTTGAACGATCATTATTATTACCTTTATCATTCACCTGAGTAATTTCAGATTTTGTTCATCTAAACTATCTTGGTTATTTAATTAATAATTATTAAATCAATTTTTCTCAAACATGCTTGTTTACTCATATCGTTGAAACGTGTTAATCTGGTCTGGTTTATTCCATCGGTATATGTACATTGGTTAACGAACTGGTTGGAGTTACTATCCTAATAAAATATTCTTCAGGTTCATCGATAGCTAAATAGTCATAACAATATAATGTCATGTCGTTTACTTGAATAGTTGGATCTTAAGATGTCGCGGATATTCAGTGCTTGATAACGTTGTTTTCCATATTACCTTTTTATTCCCAAAGTCAGTCACATCAGAAGTACGGAACGAAGAGGTTAAAATATGTGTTTAAAAAAATCGTTGATGCGTTGAGAAATATGTGATCTAAGATGACCAAATGTTGTAAGAGATACACAACAAAATGTACCCAATCTTGAACTGGTGAAGATGCTTGATAAAGCCACTTCAGCTAGAGTTGGTCCAGTAAAACCAATAAGGTCAGCGTCAGTGTCGATGAATTACATAATTATTTATTTTGATGATTTTCGCACCACGAAAGATTTTTTTGTAATATTATCGGCATAGTAAAGTAAAATGTTATATCCGGAAGAAGAATAATGACCTGATCATGTGTAATTGTTATTTTCTGTTTTATGGTATGATGCGGTCTGATTCGCTTGCATAGAAAATAAGTATGTCTGAAATACATGATTCATATAACGGAGGCTGATATTGGAGTTCTGAATTGAACCAGCTGGGTTAGGAGAGGAGCTACAATCTCAGAGGACCAATAAAAACTCAGAGTTGACTCTAGGCTGCTCGTAGTGGTTTACACATCATTGGTCTGATCAATAAGTCGATGTTCTAATTGGCGATTTAGTCACGTGATATATTAACAGGCCATAAGGACATAACATAAAAAAA